GGGAGTTTTTCAGAGGAAGTGTCTTGTGGACGTACGTAAACCACATGTTCAGAGACACTGATACTGCTTCGATCAATCCGAGGTCCTCCAAGTCCAGTCCGTTAGCTATGAATAGAAAGAACTAATAGCTACAATTTTTCCTACCCTGGGCACAAGGCCTACGCCTTACCTACCTCCAAACTTTATTCTGAACCCAAAGTAACAGGACACACGGATGATCACATTACTGGTCTTTAAAGGGTGTCTTATTTTATAAACCACAATAAGCTGATAATAAGACGACTCATACCTATTCTCGAAGGTGAGTTCGTAGAGTGCTCTCTATGCCGAACGATATGCGGCGGAAGGTGAAGATGACAATTCAAGTGTTCGTTCCTGGATCTGAAAAGAAAGGCCTGCAGAATGAACTAGAAGAGCGTATGCAATAGAACTTTCTATCTCATTCTATCATGAAATCCAACCCGCAGAATCCGTAATCGGTTTTAGCTGAAAAACTCCAAAGTGCCCCATATTCATATGAAGGGAATTCACCCATGAAGGACTAAATACAGTAATCGCCTCCATGAATGTAGAGTTTTTGAATTCAGTTTGTGCGACAACTTGAGCGTCAGCTTTTAGTGTCCTCTAATTTGCGTCCGAATATTCCGAAAAAGTGGTTGGAAAGCAGCCGCACAGCGGCGCGTAACATAGGCGGAATAGCGTTACCGACAAAGACAAGGAAAACTGGAATGGTAATTTCTGGCTTATTAGCCGTCGTCAGCGGGCCATACCCAACCCTGAGGTTTAGAACACCTGGTCACTTCTTACTGACCGTTCTGATCCCCCTGTCTAGAGCAAAATTACTCAAATTCCCGTACGAGCCTCTACTTCAAAGTCACATCTAAGTGACATTCACTCGTCCAGCCTGATTGTCTGATTTGTCTGCACTTCAGACGAAATTGGTGGATATCACTACAACTTAACTTACTACCATCGGTTGTCGCTGATTGTGCATGAATCTATTATTCAACTGGTAGCGGGTTTAACTGATGACCTAAATAGTAGTCAACTGGTACGTCCATAAGTGATGGATAGTAGAAAAGCCTTCTATGCGAACTTTCTGTAAACTAAGCAGGCTTTGGGTCCGACGAAATAAGAAGTCACCGGTCGGTGGCAACTGTGCTAGCAGGACGCACAAGGCTGAGGTCTGCCACGTCAACTTAAAATCCAGAAGACGGCCCTGAACGGCTAAGTACGTTTTCTTATAATCACTGTTTCGGAAGACAACGCTATCGCAGGCAACCCTGGGCAAATGGTCCGGAGGCTTTTAGTCATCTACTCATGCCTAAATTTCTGAGAAACATTATCGTACTGTGATCTATCCTATGGCGTGCGCGGGAAGTGACATTCTCCACAACCCTGGTCCGATAGTGCAGACTTACAGTATGCAGATCGGACTTCTGAACCGTAAAATGCCCCTGATTTTGGACACTGGAAAAGACGAACATCCCTAGACTCTGGTACACAAAATCTAGGGGTGCGCTCTCCCCATCAGCAAAACATGAATATTGGCTGTCCCACTCAGCCTCTCTGGATATAAATAATAACATACGTGCAACCAGCACTAAAAGTACTCGAACATGGGGCTTGATTGCGAACATTAACGTCTGTATTCCGTATTACAAGGACACCAGATCAGTGAGCGTCACTTCCACACAGCCTGGTGCGGTATGACTTGGAAAGGTTTTTCGTCCGGCGAAATGAACAAAAGCCCAGCTGTCTTCAATTTTGCTCTTCAGAGGAACATCCTCTTAAACTAACCGGTTGTAAAAGCCATATATATGGTCGCCGCTGCCAGCTCCACCAAATACTGCCTTTGCGCCATACCTTCTCCCTTACCAGTCCCACTTCGAAAATTCCACCGTCGTTGCCGACGATGTCTACCATGTGCTCCGCAATAAAGTGAGAGCAGGCACGGCAACTTGTGGGTAAATTCGTTTATAGTGTAAATAGACTTGCACAGCATATACCGTACTCTCTCCTCCCCGTCTGAGCACGGTGTCAATACATAATCAAGTAGGCCGAAGGCGGAGGGGGGTGCAGGTGACTGACACATCCGGACTCGCACCTAGGCGTACCGCCACATCCCCCGGTGCACAACAAACATATGGCCAGGATTTTAACCAACAACAAAAATTGGTCAGAAGGAGGAGAGGATGACACAAGTCACTGGGCTGGACACCCAAAGGGAGCGCAATCACATCCATCGGCAGAGAACCAGGTGACAGGAAACTGCCAGGTTAACTGAATCATGACAAAGCAGACGCACACGATCCTTCAAGCCCAGAAAGGTGAGACGCAACCTTGCATTTAACCTGCGCCACCACCCCGAAAAGGCCGGGTAACTAGTCAGTCATCAACTGAGTGGCACTACACAACGATAGTTCGATCGTCGCATCCAACAGTGTCCGCCGTATGCTCCACAGCAAGCTGAGAGCAGGGACGGTGACTTGCGCGGGGTTTATAGTGTGAGTAAACTTGCACTGCGTCTACCACACTCCCCCCTCCTCCCCCATCTGGAGCCGGTGTCAAGACAAAGTCAAGAAGACCGGAGATGAGGTAGGCCGCAAGTGGATGACACGGTCGAGCACGCACCTTGGCGTTCCATTCCACATCCCCTGGTCCACACAGAAAATAACCAGGTTTTTGACCCAACAACAGAGATTGGAGGCTGGCACGGCCAAAGCCGCACCTTGGCGCGCCGCCAACGCCTAGCTCGGATCCCACGCAGTGGGAGTACCATAAAGGCCACATTAAAAAGGAGCCACTGTAGCCTGACTCTCAGACAACCTGCCGGCTGCTCCACACCAGCACTAGGCTGACTGTGAGGTCCAGGTTATCCCCTAGGTTGGCAACCTTCCAAGACACGGCTTTTAGCGCACCGGGATAGTTTCAAGCACGTCAGATTGTTTATAGTGGGGAAAATGCGTTGAGTCGTCGACCTCACTCTCCCTTCCCATCCCCATGCTTCAGCCACTGTCCGAGCCGGTCAGATGACTGGAGCGGGGAATGGGCGCGGTGGCTTAGAGTGTCTAGTGACCTTGTCTGCGCGCGACACATGCACGACCTGGCTCCCCGAAAACAAGCACCAGGATTTCACATAAGGGGGGTTGAACGGCGTACCTCTCACGTACGCGAGAGGGCTGTGGAAGGAATTGTTTCGGCCCGGCTCCCAGCCCACCAGTCCACCATTCCACATAACAGACAATCAACTGGACGGACTGTGTGAACCGAGTTGGGTCTTCAGTGAGCAACCCTTCAATCCACTGCGCTTGACGCGCCGGCATAGTCTCAGGCTCGAGTCATCCACGCAACAGGAGCCGTACGGGGACCGAGTTGATGCGCACACTTCCCACTTGCACATGTTATGTCAAATAGACGCTTGTGGTGGATAATGTTGATGTGCGGTGAGATGGTGGTGAGGGAGGATGTGATGGTGTGGTGCAGTCGGCGGTTATCTACCACAGGTTTTCGTGAATGGCATGTGGCCGAATAGGCCCATGAGGTGCATGAATGTGCGAGGGCAATGTGGACAGTGGAAGCGGATTCGGCGGGTTTATGTGGGTGATTTGGGCACTAGTTCGCCAGTCTCTGTGAGATTAATTCGCAAGTGACCAGCCAGGCCGATGTGTGAGGAGAAGGTGCGGTCGCAGTGACGGCAAGCGTAGTTCAAGCCCTCACCTCTTGTGTCGATGACGGTGGTGGTAATGGTGGTGGTGGTGGTGGTGGTGGTGGTGGTGGTGGTGGTGGTGGTGGTGGTGGTGGTGGTGGTGTTTTTTATTGTGTCAGGAATGTTAGTAGTGTTGATGTGCATGGCAGACTCCACAACGGCAGAAGTTGTAGCATTGGAGGAGGGGGGATGGGGAGGAGGAGGAGGAGGAGGAAGAGGGGGAGGAGAAGAAGAAGAAGAGGAGGAAGAAGAAGAAGAAGAAGAAGAGGAGGAAGCAGAAGAAACAGAAGAAGAAGCTGGAGGAGGAGGCGGATGAGGTGGCTGAGGAGGAGAAGAAGAAGAAGAAGAAGAAGAAGAAGAAGAAGAAGAAGAAGAAGAAGAAGAAGAAGAAGAAGAAGCAGGAGGCTGAGGAGACGGATGGAAGTAACGGTACGGGAGGGTGGTCAGAATTAATTGATGGCATAGAGGACAAGGAAGAGGGGGACGGAGGGACAACAGCAGGTACGGTCCGAGTGGCTTAGTTGATCCGAAAATGTCCAAAAAGTCAAGTTGGCTCCCGGAATGTCCGTAGACATCGTGGACACGTTAAAGAAGGTTGTGCATTGGAAATGTGGGGCGGGTGCAGCTGAGATTTGCGAGCTTCGCGTTTGGCTATTGCTGCGGCGATGCGGTTGGCTTCGTGGATCGCAGCGCCTGTCTTCACTGTCCTCTTCCAAGTCGGTCGGTCGTGGGCGAGGTCTTCCCAGCTTCTCAGGTTAATTTGCAGACGCTTCAGAGAGGACTTCAGAGTATCCTTGTATCGGCGAGTTTGGCCTCCTTGGCGGCAAGAACCCGTGACGAGGTCTCCATAAAAGAGTCGTTTGGGTAGCCGCTCCTCGTCCATCCGCACGAGAGGGTCGCTCTAACGCAATTTCAGTTGCTTAAGCATGGTGTAGATGCGCAGGATTCCTGTCCGTTCCAGTATCTCACTGTTCGGAATTCGGCCCTGCCATCTCAGCTTCAGGATACGACATGAAAACTGAGGTGGGAGTGATTGAGTCGGCGTGCCTGCTTCGTGTATACCGTTCAGGTATCTGCTCCGTACAGCAGCGTTGGGTGGATGACGGCCTTGTACATCTTCAGATTCGTACTAAGCTGGAGACTATGACGATTCCTGACTGTGCTTTGGAGCGGCCAAAGGCTTGACTGGCCTAGGAAATCCTCTGGGCCACTTCGCCGTGGATTTTCGTGCTGCGGGAGAACGTACTGCTCAGGAACGTGAAGTTGTCTACCACTTTCAGTTGGGTTCCGTTCACGCTGATCTGCGGCGAATTATGGGGGTGGCTGTGTTGGATGGCGGTTGGTGCATGACCACCGTCTTCTTCGTGTTGATGACCAGAACGAAGTTCTCGCAGGCGGCGAACAAGAGGTCCATGCTCCTTTTGCATGCACTCTTACGAGATGACGTTGAGGGCGCAGTCGTCGGCGGAGAGAAGGTTGTGAACCGTGTTTGTGGATACGCGCGACTGGAAGTACAGCCGCCGTTGATTGAGAAGGTGCCGTCCGTCCTGTAGGCAGTGGGGATCCCCGAACGTTCGTCACGGTTGGCGTCCATTAGCATAACAGAGAAGATATGACTGAAGAGGGTGGGCGCCAGGACGCATCCCTGCTTCACTTCGTTTGTCACTGCGAATGCCTCTAAGACTGATCCGTTTTTCGCGCCATCATGTCGTCGTGGAGTTGACGCCCCATCTGGATGTATCGTTCGGGACAACCGAATTTCTGCACGATTTTCCAGTCTTTCAATACTCCCCGTATTGAAGGCTTTCGTCAGATCCACGAAGGTAGAGCATAGGTGGGTCCGCATCTCCTGGCACTTATCCAGAAGTTGACGGGCAGCGAAGGTCATATCCGTGGTTTCGCGATGACGGCGGAAGCCGCACTGGCTTTTCGGCATAAGACCCTGTTCTAGGCGATTATTCGGGCAGATAAGGAGGATACGAGTAAATATTTTCCTGGTGATATTCAGCAAGGAGATGTCTCGATGATTGTCGCGGAGTTGGCGGTTTCCCTTTCGATTGTATAGATGCACGATTGTGGCGTCTCCGAAACACTGCGGGACCTCTCCTTGACGTCACATCACCTGGAAAAGCGCAGTTAGGTGGTCCATAATTTTGGGGTCACCGTGATTGTAGACGTTAGCAGGGATCATATCAGATCCAAGCGTTTTCCGCTGGAGAGCCGCTGCACGGCCCTGCTGGTTTCGTGGAGAGAGGGCGGGAGATCGAGGTCCATGTTGGTCTCCACTTGCGGCAGAAGGGCGATGGCGGCATCGGAGATGGTGGAGGGACGATTGAGGACGCCTCGGAAGTGCTTGACCCATCGCTGTAGAATTTTTGTCTTATCAGTCAGTCGGCGCTCAGCAGAGGTGCAGTACCTCAGGTTGGCGGAGGGTAGACAGCTTTGATCACGGAGAAGATGTTCTTCAGTTCGTTGCGGTCCGCGTATCCTTGGATCTTCTCTGCCTTGCGAGCCGTCCAAGCGCCCTACATCTCACGCAGTTGCTGTTTTACAAGGCGACGACTACTGTAGAAAGCAGCTCTGATGTCGTTGGTGGGGCGGTCGACGTAGGCTTTGTGCAGACGGTTGTTCTCGGCAAGCAGTTTGCTGATGGCGGTTTCGTTGTCGTCGTACTAGTCTTCGTGTTGGCGGCGTGCGCGACCGAGGACGACCAGCGGTGTCGACTGGACTGTGTCCTGCAATTGACACCACCGGTTCTCTACAAAGGTGTTATCGTCAGCGGCGGCAGCGACTGGAATGTTGTCTAGCCGTTGAACTAGCTAGTTGCTGAAATGAAGATGGTGAGCAGGCAACGAAAACAGGGCAATATTAAGCTTGCCTGAGGGCCGCCTACCCTGTGGTCTCCTGCGAGGCTGTAGGCGAATTCGCTTCTTCGAGATGACGAGGCGATGGTCGGTCCACCCGTTAGCACCCGGAATTGCCTTGGTCACCAGCACGTCCTGCTGGTCTCGCCTCCGGACGAGGAAATAGGCCAGCGGGTGCCACTGACGCGATCGAGGATGCATCCAGGTGACCTTCTTTCGCATCGGCAGGCAGAAGAAGTTTTTCGTCAGGATGAGCCGGTGTTCTGCTCGAGTTCGTAGAGGGAGCATGCCGTTGCCTTTGAAGCCCCGGAGCCCTCGAGGACTTAGCACTTCTCTCCCATCAGCATGGTCTGTTCCGACGCGGGCGTTGAATTCACCAAGGACAATGGATTTATCCGCCTTCGACACAGCTGCCGGGAGGTTTTGCAGGTCCTCGTAGAATTTGTCTCTTGCGGCGGCGTCAGGGCTGCTCATCGGCGGAGCGTAGGCGCTGATGATGGTCGAGAATTTATGTCCCCTTAGGGGCAGACGGAGGCTCATCAGACGATCGTTAATACCCTGCGCAGACAGGGCGGTCGTCCCGCATCGTCGTTCCGGATGGCAACGTCGACACCCGCATCTCGTCGATCTGCCCTGGAGCGACCGCTCCAGAAGAAGATGTAGCCGGCACCCACCTCCTCCAGTTGGCCTTGTTCGGAGAACCGAGTCTCGCTGAGTGCTGCCATTTCCACCTTGTAGCGCGCCAGTTCCTGACCTACTAGCGCCGTTCTCCGTTCCGGTCGGTTGCTCCTCGGATTGTCTAAAAGGGAACGAAATCTCGAGGCAGCCAGTGTGAGCGGACTCACCCTACCAGTCTGGCGAGTGGGGCGGTGGGGAGGAGGAGGAGGAGGAGGAGGAGGAGCAGGAGGAGCAGGAGAAATAGAGGAAGAAGAAGAAGAGGTAGAGGAAGAGGAAGAAGAAGAAGAAGAAGAAGAAGAAGAAGAAGATGAAGAAGAAGAAGAAGAAGAAGAAGAAGAAGAAGAAGGAAGAGGAGTAGAGAGATTGTTGTTTCGGTCCTGACTTTGTCGAGCGTATGTTTTTTGTTTACGACCACGGCCTGTCTACAGACGGCGTGATTCTCAGCAAATTGCAGGACACCTTTTTCCAGCCTTTTTCAGCTTGTGGGGCGAGCAGTGCACCCCCTAAATAGGGCTGCTGGGCATCCCAAACGGCTGCCGAACTGCGCAATGGGCCACGACTGCGTTAGTGAGAGTACGACCCGAGTTAGCCTGGGACCTTAGCTGGGTAGGGAGGAGTGGAGAGACGAGAAACACAACTTTCCTCTTATTCTCCGGGGTGAATAGTTGCCGAAGTGGATAGAAGAGAAGATACAACCAGCTGAAAGATATATGACCTACAGTTAGGAGGGACAAGCAAGCATAGCCAGCAGGCAGGGACAGCAATAAACAAGACAACAAGCAAAGTCCAGCAGAACGACAACTAACTATTGGTGAGGACAGGCGCAAACAAATAGACATAGAGCAGGCAACAAGGGCGGCATGCAGCATGTAACGGGAACAGGCAAAGTGAGGCAGCAGAGCAACGTTCGCTTACCTCAGGGCTCACTTACCTTATGGCCTCCGACGATGCCGACGCGACGATCCATCCGGCCGGCGGAGTCCACAATACCGTGCGCACAGATGCACACACGAATACCCCCATCTGGGTTCGCCCGCCGGTCGAGGCGGTCACGGGGGTGTGGCCGCTAGGCAGAGCCGAGCTTTGGGGAGCCACATGTGAGAATTAAGTGCCAGCAAGATGGACTCCAGGCGTAATTTGCACCTGCAAGTAGGCGAGCGACCTTCTACGACCGTCACGTGAACACACAGCTGGACTCGCCTACGCCCACTACCCATATGCACACACACCTCTCATACGTGAGAGTGCCAGAGGTCACGTTTGAAGGCAACGTTGCAGCCCTGAATGTCAGCCCATCAGTCCGTCACTCCGCACAACCATACACACACACACAAGTGAACGAACTGCGTGGACTGAGTTGTGGCGTCAGTCGGCACTGACGCACCGTGATGCTCTCAGGCTCGGATCGCACATGCAACAGAGGAGCCACATGGAGAAAGAGCTGGGAAGCACACATACCACTTAAATCAGGAGTGTTAGTCTAGTGCTTGCTTTGTGTGGCGATGGATGATGTTGATGTGTGGTGCGGGTGTAAATGGGCAAAGCTATGATGGTGTGGTGTAGTCGGCGGTTGTCTACCGCAGGTTTTCCTGAATGCACATGTGATCTTATAGGTCCATGCGGTGGCTGAATGTGCGAGAGCAGTGAGGGCAGCTGAGGCGGATGCGGCGAGTGTATGCGGGTTCTCTAGGCACTAGTTCGCCAGTCTCTATGCAATGGATTTGCAAATGACCGACTGGGCTGATGTGTGAGGTGAATGTACGGTTTCAGCGGGGGCAGGATAGGTCATGAGCGTCAGAGTCAGCTTCAGTGGTGATGGTGGCGGTGTAGCTGCTGGCGTTAGCCTCTCTGAGCGATGGATGTCGATTGGGCTGACCATGGTAGGTGTGCCAGGTGTGCTATGAGCGTCGAAGCCGTGGTGAATTCCGCCCTTGTGGATAGGCATGTGACCGAGTATGCCCATGCGGTAAGCGAATGTGCGTGTGCAGTGTGGACAGTGGGGAGGCGGATGCGACGAGTGTATGTGGGTGCTCCAGGCTCTGGTTCGCCAGTCTTTCTACGATGAACTCGAAAGTGATCGATCAGGCTGGTGTGTGAGATGAATGTGAGATTGCAATGAGGATAGGTTGAGATCGGCCCCGCGCCACTGGTGTTGGCGGTGGTGGGGTTGGTGTTGGACAGTGCGTCAGGATTGTTTGCATTGGTTGTGGGGGCCGGAGCCGTCGCAGCAAATGTTGAGGCGTGGATGGTGGTGGATGATGACGACGGTGAACCGAGGGCAACGTCAGGGTGGTTTATCGACATGGGGGGGGGGAAGACAGAGGTGGGCGGGGGCATCAGTTAGTGTCGTCCGGGTGTTGCAAATAGTCAACGATAACAAGGGCTTATGAATAGCGCCTCCTGTCTAGAAATTGATTTCTTTTAAACTCACCTCGAATAATTGCCTAAACAATAACTCTAATTAGAGAGAGGGGTAAAGAAGGTTGAAAAGGTTGACCACTGAATGTGGATAGCTAAGAGCCCTTGGATACGGTTCCGCGGCGGTGCTATTATCTAAACCGTCTGAAAACTGTTTGGTATTCCCATATTTACCGATGACACCCCGATTGCGTTTCAACGAACCCCTTTAAGTGCGCGTGAAATTCAGGCAGAAGTACAACTGGATCCAACATGCTTCGAATCTAATCAGGCAGTATTCGTGTGCTACAGTTTGCAAATTTTAGCTGTCGTTATTTTAATGAGTTTTCTGCGAAGATTTTCGCCCTGAGTCGTGAATAGCGGAGAATCCATTGAGCTATAAGCGTGGTAACCCCCTAGTTGTCTGCTGCCCGCAAAGTTATATTTCCACAGTAAGCATGGTATCATGGGTCATTAGTTATGAACCGTATAAAAAAATTTACAGTGCATGGATCTGCAACACGCAGATGTGCAATTCATTGCGTCTGCAGCATTTTACAGTTCTGTAATTTAATCCATCTGAACTGAAATCAAAATGCTAGCACTCTGCTCAGCCGATTTAAAAGTCCTCGAGAATGACCGCGGACGAGGCGCGCGCAACTCAATCTGAGCTGACCTAAACGGCTTCGTGACATTGTACATGACCCGCAATTCACCTTTTGTTGTTAAAAAAATGACGGTGGTTGTCTAAAATATTTCCACTCTCCACAACTGTGTCTAATACGGATGGCACCTACGATTAGTACGCCCACCATCGAAACAACTGGAGAAAGGAAGGAGGGTAGAGCTAAGTGAAGGGAAAGAAGAATGTAGAGCAATGTGGAATGTCGCAATGCAATAACAATGCTGGTGGTGGCGACGGCATGTTGATTGGGAGGAAGAAGGAAATAGAGAAGAGGGAGGAGAAAAATTCGATTAGTTTAATTGTGAAACGCAACCTTAAGAGCAAGATCAAAAACTTGATTTGTTCCCTTACATTCGGTACACGGTAAGTTTAAAGAAGTGAAACAACTAAATGAATTTTGAAATTGTTCTCTAATGGTAGAGGGTATTCACTGGTCCCGTTAGGCCTTAGGGCCCTCTCTTGAGCCCAAACAGCAGCTCCCTCTCGACGCATGATAAAGGCACAATAGGATTGCCGATAAAGACAATAGAGGTTGTAATGGCCATTTCTGGCTTGTCCTCTGTCGTCGGCCAGCCATACCAAACCGCGAAGTGCGGAACACCTGTGTCTCGATCCCGCGACCCGTTAGTTACAAGTTCAACACCCCTAACCACCGAGCCACGGGCTCGCTGTCCTGTCGGTTGCGATTAGGTATGTACAATGGTAGAAGGACGCTCACCGATCGTGAACGCTCTCCTTCTAAATGGAAACGCTTCTCCGATTCATGTAACAGGTTACTGGAATGTGAGTTCCGTAAAAAAACGGTCGGTAAGCGCCGTCTAACACTGTATATTCCCGATCGCAACCGACAGGACAACGAGCCCGTGGTTTAGTGGTTAGAAGCGTTAGACATCTAACCAACATCAGCGAGATTGAGCTCGATGTGTTCCACATTTCGGAGTCGGGTATGGCTGGCTGACGGCGGCTAATAAGCTAGAAATGACCATTTCGGTCTCCTTTGTCTTTGTCGGTAATGCTATCGTTCTTTAGGTTCCAGACTTGGTGACCGGTAGCCCTCATGCGTATGAAGCTTAAGTATCTGTTTCATTTAGATGAGAATTGCTATCTGGTAGGTTAGACCACCAGGTCTACCAAATTATAAGAGCCATTTACTTAGCTGCAGACTGTTCAACCACCAACTGCAGCTCTCGTTTACATTGTCTTAGAGGGTGTCAGGAAAAGCACTGGGAAGATGAAGCGGATGGTAGTCGAAACACACACCTCCACATCTGTTGAGTGCTTTCTGGTCAAGACTTCTGATTTGTAACCCTTGTTAAAAGAAACCTTCACACAAACGGAAGACAACTTGCAGGCGACAAAGCCTGCGTATGAGACATGACTGTCAAAACATCGTCAAATCATTCGACACACTGACCTATTTATGACCCGATTGACAAACTCCCAGAAATGTCAGAGAGGACTTGTAAGGGTCTGGCCTTGCAACTGTTACCAAAGACAACGATAACGAAATAGGACTGAGAAGTTTCAATAGAGGCACGACTCACTTACGGCCGATATTAGCGATTTACCTGACAGACATGGTAGAACCTGCGTTCCTCTGGCTTTTGAGAGAGCGTATTGCCCAGAACTTAACGATTTCTGAAGCATGTTAGTTCGCAAATGTAAACGACGGCACACCAATAGGTCTCGTCCGTTGAACGCCTCGTCTTTTGGTATTATTATGCTTGAAACTCTCAGTTGCTTTACTGTCGGAGTGCACACCTTTTTAAAGGAGATTAATGTGCAAATATCCATTGTGGCCGTGGGTCAGTACTGAGCCTTTCTGCGTTATCTTATAGCAGTGTCTGCAATGTATGAGGGGCGTGGCAGCTAACAATCATTAAATGAGAAGTGTTGCCGACAAATGGCAGACACGTTAAAACCAATTTTCTAACGTAGTTTTTCATCAGTCAGTGATACGGCAGACGAAAGCTGTATACCTGATAAAATGTCATATTTACTGATTGAAAGTCATGATGCCACCGTCTGCCTGGGCTGTTAGATCCCCAAGGTCATGACAATTTCGAAATATTTCTGGCTGTCCTGCAATCAAGATGGATCGGTGCGCGTCGCACTCATGTGACTAGGAGGTGTGTTATGCGGTCCGGGGTGGGGGCACCGCTGACTGCTGACGGCAACTAAGTCCGAAATGGTCCTCCCGATGTTGGTATTTTCTACTCCAACAGAATATATTTCAAGCATCGTGCAGAGTCATTCACGCAGAGGAGAATTTTCAGTCCGTCAACACCAACCCCAAGGGAAACAAAACTAAACATTTATTAGTAATCTGTCCTGCTTTTTACTCTAACTCGGTTTAATTACGCCGTCACTGTCCTCCGTCTGTCTCACCCTCCTGCAGATCGGTCTATGCACATTGGTGTGCCGCTGGAATTTGGCGACGAATGTCCTCCAGGTTTTCTCACGCAGGTGGGCAAGGCGAAATCTGAACAGGGCGAGTTCTCCACCGTCTACTGTGTCCTTTCAAAGGAAGGCCTACAGGATGTGGACAAGAGCAAGTTCAAGAGCTTCTGCATGTTTCTTCTCAACCAAGAGCGTGAGACCTGTCCCAAAGGTATAAAACTAGGAGATTATTATCAATCATCGTTCTATAATGATGGCTTTTTTCATAATTATCTACTGGATATCCAGTGGTAATTTGTGCACAAAAGTATCAACATACCACTTAAATTACCATGAAAATAATAATTTTCCTCACCAGAGATATTACCGACCAAAGCTGCACACTGCGTGTGATAACTGAACGTCTTACCGACTCTGATGACCAAGAGTGTAGCAGTCTGATCTGAGCCTATGGCGACTTGTTGTCATTCGGACTATGCATCTTT